CTCTCGCCGCTCCCTCCCCGGCGTCTTGGCGGTGCTGGGCCCTGTCCGCCTCTGCGGGGGCCCCCGCCGCGCACAGCCCGCCGCCGCCGCCTCTGCCCCCCGAGCCCCGGCCGAACGGGGCCGAACGCGGGTCCGGCGCCGAGGGGCAGGGGCGCGGGGCGCCGAGGGGCAGGGGCGCGGGACGCCGGGTGGAAGTTGAGGGCGGGACCGCGCCGGGACGCCGGGGAGGGAGCGGCGAGAGGCGGCGGGCGGCTCTACTTACGCGGCTGTACCAGATGCTGAGGCGGACCGGGGCCAGCACGGCGAAGAAAGTCCTCTGGGGGTCGGACTGAACGTGGATAGGCGCCTCGGCCGGGCTCCCCAGAGGGCACAGCAGCCTCTTGGGCCAGCCGCTCAGGAAATACATGGTCCGCGCGGAGCCGCCGACGCCGCGGCGCCCGGCGGCCCCCGGCCCCGTCCGTCACACTCAGCGGCCCGGGGCCGGACGCCCGCCTCCCACACCGCCACCGGCCGAGTCGGCGGCGTCGGCAGCGGCAGCTCGGAGCATCTGCCCGCTGGCCGGGCCGGGCCGGGCCGACGCGAAGCTAAGCGACGAAGGAACCCTTGGGCTGACGGGGCCCAGTGTGGGGGAGGTAGGGGGAGGGAGAGTCGGGACGGAGAGGGGGCGGGAGGAGCGCGGAGGCCCGCCCCGGCCCGGCCCCACCCCTTCCTCGGGCCGCACGGGCGTCACCACGCCGCGCCGCGTGGGTCGGGCCGGGGAAGGCTTGCCGCGCGCACGCGCCTTGGAGACTTCTCCCTACTTCCCCCGCCCCGCCGTCGCTCTTCTTTCTGAAGCTCCGCCCCTATCTTCACGAGCGGCCGCCGCGCTGCGTCAACACGCATGCGCCTTTGCCCCCTTCTGGCCCCTCTGCACCTCCCACTTGCAATGTGCACCACGTTGTTGGGGCCGGGTGGGCGGGACTACCGCCTGAGACTCAGGGGAAAGTGGGCCGAACTGGGCGAGACCCAGTTGCGGGGTGATTCGAATCGCGGAACACGCCTCTCGCCCGGCCTCAAGCCAAATTTGACTCCCTTCGCGGATTGGTGAGGCTTGTGGGCCGGGCCTGGCGCTGCAACTCGGGGAAAAGGTGGGGGGAGATTTGCAGGGGAGCGATAGTCACGTGACCTTCCCTGCTGGCCAGCCCACCCACCCCAACCGTTCCCCGTGCTGGGCCGTGGGGTCCTTGGCCTAGTGAGCCGCTGTTGCGTGCCAGGCTCTGCAGTGAATGCTGGCGGTGGAGTTCCTGCCCTCATGGGGTTTACAGCCTAGAGGGGGCCTTTATTCGATCCGTGAATAAACCACCCGCCTTGAAAGTGCCTGAGCCACGTCCTCTTTCCTTCGGGTTTCCAAATCTAGCGTGTAATTAAGAATTCAATTTGTATTCATCTATCCCTTTACCAACCACAATGTTAGACAAGGCAAGGCTGTCTCTTTTTTTGCACCCTTCGGTAGAGTATATGCCACAAAAGAATTGGACATAATTTTAGATCTGGGACGGGCCTTAGAGTCTCCCTAGTTGGATGTTTAACTTTTGGACCCCAGGGATCACCTTAACAACTGTTTCTTTTTGAGTACTGACCAAGTGGTTACCTCTGAATAGGAGGACGGCGTCAATGGGGATGGAGTGTGTGTAGAGAAGGCGAAGGGTGGGGGGATCCAAAATAAAAGACTTCTCATTGTCTGCCCCTTTTGTTCACTTTTCATTTTTCCACATTTTTTAAATTAAAAAAATAAGTTAACCCAGGTTTAAAACAAATGTTGCATGAAAAAGTAACAATAAACAGCAAAGGAGGAAACAAAGTAACTTAATGAGTATCAGATGTAGCATTGTAGCTGGTATTCATAACAAAATATGTAACTTTTACATAATTTTTTAAAACATTCACTGCATTCCCCAGAAGGTGATCAAAGAACCCAGGATTCCTCAAATCACAGTTGAAACTGCCGCACCACTCACTGGCCTCTTGTGGTCAGACTGTGTCTCCTTCCTGGTGTCCCCCCCCACCCCCACGTCCAGCACAGCAGCCTGGCACACACCAGCAATAGTAAACTCTGAAAATATGTGTCAAATGAAAATTGGATGAAACCCTGATCCAGCTGGACTACACCATTGGACAAAGAGACCCAGAGAAGTTTCTTGACTTACCAAAATAAAACTGTAGAAGAATAATACAGTTGCGTCATACTTTCATCTGACTTGTATTCGGTTATACACTTGGCAGAGAAAGAGAGAAAATGAAAATAGGTTACAGTGCAGCAGTTACACGGGCAATTTTACTGAGAATGTATTTGTCCTAGCTCCCCTTCAGAGGTCTTTGTTCTGTGCCTTCTAAGTGAGAGCACCAACTTCCAAGTAATTTTCTTGCACTCTGTTTTTTTTAAGTTTTTAATGTTTGTTTATTTTTCAGAGAGACAGAGTCAGAGCGTGAGTGGGAGAGGGGCAGACACACACACACACACACACACACACACACACACACACACAGAATCTGAAGCAGGCCCCAGGCTCTGAGCTGTCAGCACAGAGTCCGACATGGGGCTCAAACCCACCAACCATGAGATCATGACCTGAGCTGAAGTCGGACACTTAACGGACTGAGGCACCCACACAGCCCCCCCCCCTTTTTTTTAAATTTTTTAATGTTTATTTTTGACACAGGCAGAGCATGCACTCGGTTTTCACTTTACTTGCTAACTTTAGAATCTAATTCCCTCGCTACACTCTTCTGTAGTATTTAAGGTTTACAAAACATTTTCAAATATATGACTTGATTTAGTTCCACAGCAAATCTTCAAGGTGGGTAATACTGGTGTGATGTTTATTCTTACTTTCTTAGTGAGGAAACAGGACCAGACTGGTGGAGGATCCCAAAGTCACATGGCCTGAAAAGAACCCTTCCTTCTGCAGACCCACTCAATCTTGAGACCGGATTGAATTGAATCGTGCTAGTGAAGGCAGTGAGGAGCTGGAGGGTGGGGTGATATGTCCGACTCTCCACAGTCCCTTACATGAGAGTTCCATATCGTGATAGAAACCTTATGGGCTGGATTTTCCAACTTTCAAATATCATATTCTAAGTTTACTTTGTAAAATACACAAGCAATTCCATGCCATGGATCTTCCTTCTTGTAGCCTACCAACATCACTCTGCAGTCAAACTTACTGAACTGTATTCTGAGTGAAGACTAAGCTGATAAGTGAAAATTAACAGGTGCATGTTTTCAAACAGATTTGTTTTTATTGCAAGAAATAATGTGGGTAAGGGTGCACAGAAACAGAAGTACATTTATAAACTGTTGGGACTATAATGTGATGCAGTTTTTCTAAAGTATAGTTGGTGGGCACTTGGGTGGCTTGGTTGGTAAGTGTCCAACTCTCAATTTTGGCTCTCATGGCTTGTGGGTTCAAGCCCTGCACCAGGCTCTGCACGGACAGTGTGGAGCCTGCCTGGGATTCTGTCTCCTCTTCTCTCTGCCCCTCCCCTGCTTGCTTTCTGTATCTTTCTCAAAATAAATAAACAAAAAAAATTAAGTGTAGTTGTAATTACATTTAAAAATGGAGAGATCTTGGGGCACCTGCGTGACTCAGTCGGTAAATCATCTGACTCTTGATTTCAACTCAGGTCACAATCTAGCGATTCATGGATTCGAGCCCTGCATTGGGCTCTGTGCTGACAGCGCAGAGCCTGCTTGGGATTTTCTCTTTCCCTCTCTCTCTGCCCCTCCCCTGCTCTCTTTCTGTCTCAAAATAAGTTAATATAAAAAAAATTTAATTAAAAAAATGGAAAGATCCTTAAATTATGCATACTCTTGCCCCCAACTATTTCTATCCAATGCTTACTTTCCAAGGAAATAAACACTGGTATGTATAGAGTTTAGCTTTAAGAAGGTACCCCACAAAGGTGTCACTTAGTGTCCCCAAAAAGACATTAATCACAGTTCTCTCTTAGAATGGAATGTTTTGTAAAAATAAAAAAAAAAAAGTGTGGTAAGAATATTTAATCATATAGAAGTATGTTTAGTATATATTATCCAGTAATGAAAGCAAATTAAGACAGAATGTAAAATATCCCATGTTCATTGGGGTGGGGGTGGGAGGGAGAGTATGTGGGCCAAAGGGAAAAAAAAAGTGAAGACCTGCACTAAAACATTGGTGTTTACCCCTGATTACAGGTGCTGCTTATGTTCTCTTTTGGGCTTTTTTGGTATTTTCTACATCGTCTATCATGAACATGTGACTTTTGTAGTGAGAGAAAAAAGTGTGAAACAGTTTACATTGCTAATGATGGACAATGGCCCTCAATGTCCAGCTTTCAGTAGGGCCTGAAATGCTGGTGGATCAAAGGGAGCAATGTGCTGGCACCTCAGGTGCAGTCCTGAGACTAGCAAGAGGGTCAGAACGAAAGGCCCTGTGTATTGCTCACATTCACAGACTTTGTGACGATGGCACAGCACCAGGACTGGATTGTGGTTGTGAATGCACCGCTCCCCATGTTTGGTGACCTCTATGAGAGCCTACGCAAATGTTCACTGAAGAGGATACTGCTTTAGTTGCTGACTCTTGCATATGCTTTTAACATTCATCCTTTATTACGCTTTCACTATGGACAGCTGATGTATTTGCTTCTGGGCCGGACTCTTGATTATCACTTATCCTGTTCGGAAGATTGGTAATGAGTATCTGAGCAGAAATGATAATGGTGTCAGGAGTTGGCTTCTCAGTAGCCTGGGGGTGAGTGGAGAAGGTGCAAATATACATGAAACAAGGTTGGCCGTGAGCCAATCATCTTTGAAACTAAGTGATGGGTAACTGGGAACTCACTGAGGTGTTTGCTCTCCTTTTCCATACAGATGAAATTTGCAGTCATAAAAAGTATAAACATTTAAATTAAAAAGAGCATCTCAGTAACTTTGGTCACATGTGACTAACCAGTCTACTTTGTCCCCTATCCTCCCAACAGTGTTGACTATTACTTGGAATCATTTCATTAACCATAAAGGCAGGATGGCTTATTATTAAAAGGCCTTCGTGGTTGTAAACAAGTCTGGGCTGAAGCATGAACACAAACTAGAAAATAAAGAGAGAGAGCCTATGTTTCCTAATCCAGCAAAATGGGAAGAGTCACTATTCTTGTCCTTAGCTTTGTGTTTTCTTTTTTTTTTTCAATATATGAAATTTATTGTCAAATTGGTTTCCATACAACACCCAGTGCTCATCCCAAAAGGTGCCCCCCTCAATACCCATCACCCACCCTCCCTTCCTTCCCCGTATGCATCAACCCTCAGTTTGTTCTCAGTTTTTAAGAGTCTCTTATGCTGCTTTGGCTCTCTCCCATTCTAACCTCTTTTTTTTTTTCCTTCCCCTCCCCCATGGGTTTCTGTTAAGTTTCTCAGAATCCACATAAGAGTGAAACCATATGGTATCTGTCTTTCTCTGTATGGCTTATTTCACTTAGCATAACACTCTCCATTTCCATCCACGTTGCTACAGAGGGCCATATTTCATTCTTTCTCATTGCCATGTAGTATTCCATTGTGTATATAAACCACAATTTCTTTATCCATTCATCAGTTGATGGACATTTAGGTTCT